TGGAATTTGATGTAGAGAATAATAATAGAGATGTACCTGTAAAAATTTGTCAAAACACTTAATGCTGAGAGATTGTTTGGACCAAACAAATTTTATCGCTTTGCTCGTCGACCTTCAACACATGAACGATGACGGCGAAGGGATATTAATGCCGCAGCTCCATCTCAACGAACCAATAAATTCCGAGTTTAAATCCGGCGGTTTAACTTTAGTGTTGCTGAACGATCACGCGAGTTCAATCGTCGCACGATATTTCGCTTCAGAATGTTTATCACGAAACTTTGGTATTCCCGCTAACTTATGATTCCGTATATTTTCTCGCTCGAATAAAGCCACCTTTAACTTTCTAAATGTATTCGTTATACTTCAATCGCGAACCGAGAAAAGAAAAAATTTCAGCGTTAAAATATCACTTCATTAAAACGGATATACTTAAATATTTTTTCTTTTGTTTTTCTTGTTTTTTACTTGTTTCTATTGCATTATATAAAATAATTTATGCATATAAATACTTGAAAACTGCAAAGATTTCAAAATCAAATAAAGAGAGCCTAGGAAAAATTATAATAGAATTTAAAGTTAGAGTTCGAATTTTTTTAACATCTCCTATGTTTGGTCTTCTTTTACAATTTTAGTTTTGCAATTTCAGTATCCAATTTTGACAATTTTGACAAAAAACTTTTTTCGAAAATCGCAACAAGTTTTTAACGGTCAAAACCTATTTCCGCAGAGATTAACGTCATAAAATTGTCTTAGAAGAAGCTAACGCCATGTCGAAACTTTGCTATAGCTGTTCGCGACATGTCGATGTTTTTCCGAGAGAGTTTCTCAAATCATGCAATTTAATCTAACCGAGTCCTACAGACTGTAAAACTTCGTTGACCGAACGAAATGCAGTTTTGTCGCGGTTGGGCGTCGATGCGCTGTGATGGCAGATCGCACCGCGGTTATAGCGATTCTATTATACGTTGTACTGTTACTGAACGTGTCATCCGTAATTATGATTGACGAACCGATTTATTATACGCATATGCGCGTCACTCTTAGCGTAATCATTTACGCATAAATCATATAAACATCATACTATTTATATATGTAAATTGTATATATAATGAGTAAGATGATATATATATATATATATATATATATA